TTATACATTATTTGTTTTCTGTATAGATTCAATAAACAGTACGTACTTGTTTGACTATGGAAAAAAAAAAAAAAAAAAACAAATAAATTTTTTTCAAAGCAATTACATATGAAAAATTTCTAATTACGATACAAATTTGGAATAACAATAGATATTCTTTTAACACGCCAAAGTACTATTTGCGTATTTGACACGTTGTGCATCCTAACTTTAGACTTGGATTCCACGGACTTGGGTTTGTATAACGGCCATGCTTTTCTGAAATTGATATTTACGATTATATCGATATTCGATGAATACAGAATAAGATCAAACTTTTCACAAATAGAAATCAGTACTGTTGTTACAAAAAGGCTTTTACACTTCGTACAGATGTAATACCATTCAGTGATTTATGAATGAGCCCTTTAAATTTTATTATTATCTTTTTGTAGTAAAATGTCGAAAAAACATATGATTATGGCGTTATTTTTTTAGACGCGCGAATTATTCGAAACCAGAATTATTGGTTCAACGAAGGATTAAAAGACTTGACACACACGTCTTTTCATGTATTTCTTGTGTTCTAAGATCTTAGTGATTGGTAGTAGAAACATATTCGGAACATTGATGTTTATCTGTTCAATGCCCGTATGCATTTTCATTGGATGAGTAGTACCATTGTAAACCGCAAAGCCGCATATCTTTTTTAAGAAAAAATTTATTTCCTCATTTGTCATTATTTTGATAATGGATATCTTTGCAATGACCATAGAAATCGAAAAGAGCATGACACAGGTAAACATTATTGATATCTTTTGGAAAGGACAAATATATGTGGGGAGGGTATAGGAAAGTATTACGTAAGTAGAAATATAAAAGGGAAGCAAAGATATTATCTACTACTATAAACGGGAATGTCACCACGTCAATGTCTCTTCGCAATTAGATCAAAATAAAATGTTAATTCACGTATATTTTCTTCCGCCTATATTTCTTGATAACCACTTGGATTCGTAATGAAAAGTTTAAGGTTTATTCGGCATCTAATGTGTACTAGAGAATAGAGATATTTCAATGAGTTGTTTTTCTTAAACCTAAATCAATACTGCCAAAGTTGGACACATATACTATATGTGTAGGAGGCATGGTGCATTTTTAAATCTCGATTGGTGTTTGCCGTCTCATATCTTCTGTACACTTAAAAAAAAAAATACGATTTAAAAAATAAGATTTTATTATATATAATATAATCTTATGTACAATATAATTAAAATTCTAAGTTTTTATATTCAATTCAATTCAATTCAATTTATTATATTTGTAAAATACTTATTTTTAAAAGAATTTATTAAATCACAATAGTATATACGTATACTGTATATTGAAGAATTAATTGATATCACGTAGCTTACATAGAATATATTGTATTAAAAACCACTAAGCCTTCTCCAAGATTTGAAATTAAACAGATACATGTTTGATGTTCATTTGGTTAACAGACTTAATATAATTTTTTTGATTGTTCTAGGCACTTATTCACAATTGATTTTCTTTATTGTTCTTTAAAAACCTAGGATAATTTTTGATACAAGTTTCCAATCATCTAAGAACGCGTATAAATTTGATAGTAGTCATGCTTTCTTTCTTGAATATTCCATAACATAATGTTCATTTTGAAAATATCTGTTCTGCATTCTGCATTTTTTGTACATAACCAAAAAGTTTTTTGTTAATGCACAGTACGTATCGTATAGTACCCCTGTAGAACATTTGCTGATCTGCCAAGTTTGGGTTCAATTTTGTGCAACCCTTCTGTACTTAGGCGTAGATGGACGTACAATTTTCAGCCCTGAATTGAAGGAGCTGTTAATATCGAGCAATTCAAATGTAGAGCATACGCAGGAGATATCTAACACGTATGAAGTTCTCTGATCAGGTCAAATAAATATGCACGTTGCGAGATAAGTGCACACGCCTCTATTTTTGCACTCCCTTTACCGTAACGATCCACGAAAAATGAATTCTTTTTTTTTTTTCAATATTATATATAATATAATTAATTACACTTTAAGCCTATATAATCTTTAAGTTTATTGGAATTAAAATGAAAAACTTAATATAATCGCAAACTCGAAGATTAATATTTCTGATTTTGATATAGGTCAAAAAGATTATAAAGACTATATATATTCTTACATTAAATTGGATAGATTTCTGAAACGTGAGCGCCCCGGATTTTACAAACACAAGGTTGGACGAATCAATTCTCTCATGTACTAAAAAGGTACTCCTGTTACGTATTACAAAAAGATGGAACGTATTGTTTCATTCGACGAGCTATTCTAAATACGGCAAATGCAACCGTTAAACCGAATTCACACCGATAGTATTTAATTAAATCTTCCCTAGAATGGTATGAAGATGATAATATTGTGTATATCAAATAAACAATGGCTCTTGCATGTCCTGTCATTACGTTATCAAAGTCACGAATCTATTTTGGATTCGAAACTTAAACGTGTTCCTGATTCAAAATATCTATCTTTATCATTGACATGATGACGACGACAGTTTATTCGCCTTTTCAAGCCATCTGTTACTTATGGCTCAAAATCTTTGTCCCATCGAAATTCCTATATAAAAAATGACCATCACTTTCAAACGTCAAAGTTTCTTTCCTCACCCAAATTTTTAAATTTTCATTTTTTTTTTTTTTTGTTTTATCCTAAAGTTAAACGGTTAGGGCCTGGTGCCGTAATATACTGTGTATACATATCGTTTACTTTCAATAGAATTATCTGGTTCTTAATAGAATTTACACACCATCCCTAGTCCGAGAGACGACTCATATTTTGAAAATATGAGAATTTACGAGATTTTTTACGTATTAATCGTTTTTTTGGTGTTCAACACCCAGGCAGGTAAGTCATCAGTAGATTTCATGATCGTCCATTGCCTTATCATGACATCACTTTTCTAACTGCTTTTTTTCTTTCGCTGCAGCAAAATTTGTAAGGAATACTCGGCTAAAAACATGTCTACATCACGAATTGTCATCATCCTCGTGTTCACCCGTATCAGCAGTTCCCTGTCCAACAGAAAAGTTCAGTGAAATCTCTAATAACACCATTTGGAATATAATTCCAGTCGACACCTCTTTGGTTCAAAATTCGAAAGGCACGACAAAGATTTTTATTAAATCCTCAGATGGGGTCCTTTGTCTTTCGAGTGCCTCTTCAAGTGGAATCAAAGTTTGTCCTTGCGATCAAACGATATCACAACAATGGATATTCAGCGGCGGAAATTTGATGAGTGGTGCAAACAATGGTCAATGTTTGTACATTGAAGGAAATGATTTGGGGTTGGCCAGTTGTAACTCTGGAATCAGCACGATGTCTTGGGATTCATACTATCTCTTTCCTGGTGAGTTATCCACATTGATATGGTTGCGAAGATCGAGGATTGTATACTAATAACTCTGATACTTAGATATGGTCGTCATTCATTCAAGTCCATCTTTTGCCGGAAATTATACAAAATTGAATATTGGCACTTTCACCTCCTCGAATCTTCCTCGATCCATATTCTCGTCTCCATTTTCCGTTGAGATACCACCAGGCTTTGAACTAATCATTAACCAAAATAAGAACAACTCTATCACCTACGATGGTGATATGCCACAAATAAACGCCATTGGTGACTTAACGTCAATTATAACCATCAAACTAAAGTCAGGGATAGTGGTATACGAAGAACAATTGTATTTTGGAGCGAGTCAATTCTATGATGTAGGTGACTCTAATTCATCCGTGCCGACAGTTGGTTCTGTCATGGTGCCTAAAGGATTCAGAGGCGTAGTCTGGTCTTCCTCAAATTTCTCAGGCAGCAACCTGGGGTTGTTTGAGCCTGTTCCCGATTTTTCCGGCGGTTCTATCTCAATTACGGTTGGCAGTTTGGATGTATCTGGTGGTAGGTTTACTTGAATGCTTCTCTTATGAACAAAACACGTGACCAACCTTATCTTTTCATAAAATCTTTTCATAAAATAGCCACGTGTCAAGATGAATGCACATCCGGTGGCTTTTGCTCAGCCGAGGGTACTTGCACATGCAAACCTGGTTTTACAGGTAAAAAATGTGATGAATGTTTACCTGGCTTCTGGGGTCCAAATTGTCAAGGTAAAAAAAAAAAAAAAATCATCTTTGACCTTTAAAACCTGATAATACATTCAAATTCTAATATAAGTTCAACTATTTCGATGTTCCGATAGCTTGTTCCTGTGGGAATTCCACTCAAAAAACTTGTGATGATGGATTCTTTGGTACTGGGGGATGTAAATGCGCTCCTGGATTTACTGGCTTCGATTGCAGTTGCAATTGCGGCAACGGAACCTGTGTTGGTAATAAAGATCAATGTTCCTGTAATTCTGGCTGGGGTAAAGACGCCAATGGCAAATGCACAATATGCAAAGAAGGGTACTACCTTTCTGATGGAAACTGCTTAGCATGTGCACCAGGTTGTGCAGAATGTGAAGATAACACCGGTAAATGCTCTCGATGTTTCAATGGGCTTCATTTCTCGACCGACAATCCGACCCTCTGTGTTCTTAACTCCGCGAGTTGTCCTGATGGTCAATTCTCTGATGGAACAACTTGCCAGCAGTGCGATGTTGCGTGTCAAACATGTTACGGTGTCGGGCCGAATAACTGTCTTAGATGTAAACTTCCAGAATATTATTTTGAAGGAAACTGTGTTCCCCTCAAATCTTCTAACGATGGGAGGTGTTTCACCGGTAGCAGTTCCAATGATACATTTTTTGCAGATAACACTAGAGGTCTTTGTGAAGGTAATACACCAATAAAGTGTTATCTCTTCAATTATTTTTATGGTGAAATAAGATAATTTATAATCTCTTTATTTTGTGCGATTCAGCATGCCCAAGCACATGCCTCGACTGTTTTATTCCTCAATTTGACAGTAATACACCACCCTCCAAGATGCAATGTAATAAGTGCATGCCTAACTTCTTTCTTGATAATGGCAGATGCATTTCATCCTGTCCCCCCGGAAAATATGTTAGTCAGGCTGATAATTTCACTTGCATAGGTAATTTAAATTAAACTAGATAATGTGAAATATGCATGCGTATTTACATTATGTTGACGCTGCTAACGTCATCTTTTGATTTTATGGCAGCATGCGATAGCTCCTGTACAACGTGCAATGGCCCATCGGCTGATCATTGTCTCTCTTGCACCAATCCAAATTTCTTTGCATTCAACGGAAAGTGCTCATCGACTCCATGTCCGTCATCATATGTTTCCTTAAATACTACATGTA